TGCAACCCAGGCATGTGCCCTGACTGGGAATTGAACCAGCAACACTTTGGTTCACAGGCTGGTACTCAGTCCACTGAGCCACACCAGCCAGGGCCACACACGCTTCTTGACCCCAGTTGCCCTGCCACTGTCATTCCATTTCTGTGCTGCCCTTTATATCAAAGCTCAAGTTTTCCGTACTCCCTTCTGCAATTCCTTCCTCTCTATTCTTACGTCCATTCCATTCAGAATTTCACAACTACCATTCTATTTAATTTACTTTTGGCAAGGTCACAGTGACCTTCATGTTACTAAATCCAATGATCAATTATTATTTTATCTCCCAGTCTCTTCTGATAAACTTGATGACTCCACATTAATATGTTTCCTTCACTTGGCTTCTAGGATACCACTTTTTATAAACTTTTTTCTTCTGTCATTGGTAGTTTCTTAGTCGTCTTTGCTGGTCTTCTTTTCCCTGATTTCTGAATGTTGGAATGTCCCCCTATCTCAGTTTTAAATCCTCTGCCTACTTCATCTACCCTGAGCCCCTGAGTTGTCCCATCAGGTATCAAGGCTTTGCATGCCATCTATAAGTTGATTCTCAAATTTATATATTCCAGCCCAGACCTCTTCCATAAACTCCTTAATTATATGTCTAACTGGCTACTTGACATTTTCATTTATTTAAAGTTTAGCTGCTATTCTATTTATTTTTATTTCCGGTGCCCCCTCCAAATCAAAAGCCTGTGTTGTCTCCTTGTCATTTCATCTATTGTCTAATAAGCATCCCAAGCCTAACACATCCAAAATGGAACTAGTGCTCTTCCGAAAATCTGCGGTACACAGAACCTTTCCCACCTGAGCTGATGGCAACTTCCTATTTCTAATTGATAGTTGCCTGGGTGCAAAACCTTGGAGTCATCCTTGGCGCCCTTCTGGTCTGTCACATCCCATTTCCAGCCTGTTAGGAAATCTAGATGTAATCAGAAAAAAGAATTCACAGACCTACCACTTCTCACCACCTCCCTGCTGCCTCCTTTTCATCTTTTCCTGTATGGATTACTGCTGTAACCTCCGTACTTCAGTCTAAACAACAATAAGGGTGATCCTTTTATTTTTTTTAAAGGTTTTATTTATTTATTTTTAGAGAGAGGGGAAGGGAGGGAGAAAGAGGAGGAAACATCAATGTGTGGTTGCCTCTCGCGCGTCCCCTACTGGGGAGCTAACCTGGCCTGCAACCCAGGCACCTACCCTGATTGGGCATCCAACCACCAGTCCTTTGGTTGACAGGCCCACACTAAGTCCACTGAGCCATACCAGCCAGGGCAGGATAAGCTGCCCGGAAGTCTGATGATGGTACTTAATAGCTTTCCATTTCACTACATTGAAAAAATTACTTAATTTCTTTGTGCCTCAGTTGCTTTCTCTCTAAAAAGATATCTAAAAGATATCCCTCAAGAGACTGCTGGATTCAATGAGATAATTAATACATATGAAGCCCTTATTTACACTAACCTGGTGCAAAGAAAATAATAAAGCTTAGTTGCTATTCTTTTTATTTCCAATGCACCCTTCAAATCAAAAGCCTACTTTTGTCTCCTTGTCATTTCTTCAGTGCTTGAGGTGGGAGGGTTCTGTAGGAAGGTTTGGAGTCCGGATACCTAGCTCACTGCTGTCAGGCAAAATCCTCAATCCATTAGTGCCGGAGAGTAGTATGTCCAGAAACACTGTTCATTTAACCAAAGGAAATTCCATTACCAACTTGGCTGTTCTTGTTAGCAATGTGGGATTTGGTGTCCTGCATTAAATAGGAATTGCTTTGTCAGTAGAAAGTGTTCTTTTTGTCAGTACTGTAGTTCCTAATTTTTGAAGCATTTATTCCCTGAAGGATAATGAAAGGAGACAGCTTTCCACTATTTTTTTGATTAAGCCTTTTATCTGCAGTTTTATCCTGACCCCTTTTAAATTATTTATTATATATGTGACATCGCATATTTAGGACTCTTTTCCCCTTCATATAAGCCTCACCTCTCTGAAAGTGTTGGTACCTGGGAGACACTTATATTTAATGTTCCTACTCGTATTTTCTGTCATGCCTGGCTGGTTTTTACAGTGAACCAAAAAGAGAAGGTAAGATTGAATTAGAAGACTTGCTAATAGTAATGAAATGCAGAGTGTGGTATACAGTGGGAGAGTGCAGAAGCAGCTAGCAGCAAGTCAGGAAATTGAGTTTCTAAGGAGTACGAGAAAATGTGGGGAATATAAGAAAAGTTCCTGGGGACCTAACCCAGGAACAGTGGAAGAGGGACTGGGGTAAAATGAACTTGTACTGATCAGTAAAGGAGCCAGAGCACAAAACCTAGGCCTGGGCAGCTTATGCCCCAGAGGCTTGGAGGATGGGTTTGGGACTTAAGGACAAAGGAAAGACACTTGAGAATCTGGTAAAACACAAAAACAAAACCAAAAAACCTTAGTGGCTTGAGTCCCTGTGTTGAGTTATAGTATCTGCTTGCCCCACAGATAGTAGAGAAGTGCAAAGGGAGCAAGTGTTAATATAACACACAGCTCCAGAGGTTTCAGCACTTCCTACAGAGAAAGCTGGAACATCCTCTGGGCTGTCGTGTTGAGGAAGAGCAAACAGTGTTCCTACCTGCAGATTCTTTAAGGAGCAGCTAAGCCGGTCCCCCAGTGACCTGGGACAATTTGAGGGTATGAAAGAGATGGCGGTAGCTTTTGAGACACTTCCAGCAGCTGCAGTGTTATCTTGCATCTACCTCAGCCTGAAGAAGAAATGCCTCATTCATAAGTCTGATATCTTTCTTGCAGTTTAAGTTGCAATCATACAACTTAACACCACAATCTCTCTTTACAGTCCCAGGACTGTAGCAGAGTCCCCAAAGAAGAGACCAGGTTTCAGAAATTTCAGAGAAAGAGATAGGGGAAAAAATACGTTCATTCTCTGAATCTCAGAAGGAATGCTGCTACTTTCAGAAGCAGATCAGTTGTCTTACAACCAAGGAAAAATCCTATATGTTGGTGGGCTTTAGGGTTCACCAGATTTCTCTGTCCTCCGAGGGACTACCCAGTGACTCTTTTGCCAATAACAGTCAGTAGTTTCTTACTATAGTTTCTCCACTTTTGATTACCATGAGCAGTTCCCAAGCCATTACAGTGTTGAAACAAAATCTTTGTACTTAACAAAATGTGTGTGTGGTACATTTCTAGTGTTAAACAACTGGCTTAATTTGTTTATTCAGTTTTGTTATTAAAGTACATAACACACATACAGCAAAGTACACAAATCATAGCTCAATCAGTGATCATAAAACGAAGGCATCTTCACAGTCTCTACCTATAGCACAACAAAACCGTCAGCTCCCTTGAAACGTCCCTCGTGCCCCCTCCCCGTCACTACTACTTCCCTCCTCCCCAGAGTAAACAGTATCTTGATTTCTACCAGAATTATTTTGCCTGTTTATGATCTTTAAAAGTTTTAAATTGATGCCCGTAGTGTGTTATTTTGGCAGGAGGTCTGGCATTTTTCCTCTCATCATTATGTATTGGGATTCATACATGTTACTGGTAGATTAGTAGTTCATTTTTCATTGCTGTATCCTATATACATAAACCCCACTTATTAATACTTATTTATTCATTGTCATTACACCTCTCAACACTATCATGGCTCCCTGAAACCAAGCATCTGTGTATGGGGGGCTGTTTCTGGACACTTTATTCTGTTTCATTAACATATTTGTATATCCTTGTGCCAAAACTTTACTGTCTTAAATATATATATGTTTAAAAATATATATATATATGAGAGGGAAGTTTATATATAGAAATATATAAACTATATAATATATAATATAATTTATAGCTGTATAATAATGTCTTCATGTCTGATAGAATAAGCCCCCTCCCTCTTTGTTCTTTTTAAGATTACCTTGATTATATTTGGTCTTAAGAATTTCCATATAACTTTTGCAATCTGCTTCAAATTACCTCTTCCTTTTTCAAAAAAAAGCATGCTAGACTTTTTATCGCAAATCTTTTGAGGAGAGTGGATATCTTTACTATATTTAATCGTCCAATACCTGAAAGTAGTTTGTCTCTCTATTTATTTGGCTTTTAATTTCTTTCAATAATGTTTTCTAGTTTTTTGTCTTACAAATTTTTTATTAGATTTATTCTCAGGTATTTGGTGGGGAGAGGTTGATGTTATTGTAAGTGGTATTTTAAAAATTATTTTCTAATTGCTAGCATTAGAAACATAATTTTATATATAGAGTAGATTTTTAACTATAAGGTTTTATGAGGTTAAAGGTATCATTTTAAGAATTATCTAATATTCGCTCTGACTGGTGTGACTCAGTGGGTTGGGTATTGTCCTGCAGACCCAAAGGTCGCCAGTTCAGTTCCTGGTCAGGGCAGACTCCTGGGTTGCTGGCCAGGTCCCCAGTTGGGGGTGTACAAGAGGCAACCAATCAGTGTCTCTCTTGCATGTCCATGTTTCTCTCCCTCCATTTCTCCATTTCTTCCTCTGTCTTTAAAAATAAATAAATAAAATCTGAGCCACATCGGCCAAGGCAATAAATAAAAAAATTTTTTAAATCATCTAATATTCACATTAGTAGGGCATCTTGAGTACATTAAGAAAAGTTGGGTTAAATCCAGGGTTTTAAGGTTGGAGATTTCAAAGGGAAACCAAGAGGTACCTGTTCCTAAATTGTGGGAGTTCTGTGTCGGCTACTTGAGAGATGGCCTAGGGATTGCTTTCTCTCTCAGCTAAAATGATTGGAACTTGGAATGTTGGGGTGTTGGTTTTTCTTCTTCATAAATGGGGATTTCACTCAGCCTTTCAGCTCTGGCCGCCCTTGAACTGACAGCTTCCCTTTCATTCTAAACTCACCAAGAACGAAGCAGTGAGCCTGTCCACTGGCACGTATTGCAGGCATTCTGAAGTGATGATGCCAGAAGGTGTTTGTTTAAACTCATACTTGGCTTTGTTTTTCCAGGTCTACAAAGGCGAATTTCAGCTGCCTGACTTTCTCAAAGAAAAACCTCAGGTACTGTGTCTGCTTTCTCCTCTTGATGTGTGATAGACAGACTGTGGCAGTGAAGTGGTCTTTTTAGAGTTAATGATGTGTGCTGGCAGTGGAAAGATTGGCCTCTGGTAATTGTTGGTTTTAACAATAATTTAAAGGGGGGTGAGAGGAGGAAGAAGAGGATGAAGGGGGGATAGTGATGGAAGGAGACTTGACTTGGGGTGGTAAAAACACAATACAATATACAGATATGTATTAATAGAATTGTATGCCTGAAACCTATATATTTTTATTAACTAACATTACCCCAATAAATTTAATAAATTAAAAATACAGTAATTTTTTCTTTTAAATATATCTTATTGATTATGCCATTACAGTTGTCCCATTTCCCCCTTTCATTCCCCTCCACCCTGCACACCCCCTCCCCCACCATTTCCCCCTTTAGTTTATGTTCATGTGTCACAAGTTCTTTAGATTCTTTATTTCCCATACTATTCTTGCCCTCCCCACTGTCTATTTTCTACCTACCGTCTATGCTACTTATTCTCTGTACCTTCTCCCCCCTTCTCTTTCTCCCACTCCCCTGTTGCTAACCCTCCATGAGATCTTCATTTCCATAGTTCTGCTCCTGATCTAGCTGTCCTCTTAGTTTGCTTTTGTTTTAGGTGTGGTTGCTAATAACTGTGAGTTTGCTGTCCTTTCACTGTTCATCTTTTTTATCTTCTTTTTCTTAGATAAGTCCTTCTAACATTTCATATAATAAGGGCTTGGTGATGATGAACTCCTTGAATTTGACCTTCTGTGAGAAGCACTTTATCTTCCCTTCTATTATAAATGAAAGCTTTGCTGGATAGAGCAATCTTGGATGTAGGAAACTTTTAAAAAACAACTATAATTTAACATAGTCTTAATTTCAGAGACCTCAGTATCTTTCAAAACTAGGGGAATACTTTATTAGTGACTGAGATCCAGGTGCTTGAGGTCTTCCAAAGCACACAGTATTCCGTGTAAGGGGAGCCTGCCTTGTGTATCAGCTGCAGGCTTCTCACATCTGCCTCGAAATAAAATGCACAGCTGCCCTTTGTTTCTGTGACACACATACTGATGGCCTTTTAACTGTTCTCATGTGGAGCCCACAGTACTTGTGAATACATCATATGCACAGCTGTTGACCCTCTATGGTAAAGTCCCCCAAGTTGGGAAATGAGGGTGAGAGTTTGAAGCTTATAACTTTTACTTTTTAAAAAATTAATTAGAAAAAATCAAGAGTTATCCTTGCAGTGTCAGACTCTCACTCACTCAGATTCCAGTACTGTTTACTGAGCTGGAGAGAAACAGGTAGTGTCATGGCCGATGTGCCCAGAGCGTCCTGCATCTGAGCCTCATCTGCCGTTCCTCTATAGCGGTGGGGAAATGACAGCTATTTCTTGAGCCCAGCAGAACACTTCCCCTTCTAGCACAGCGATATACATGTTGCCTCCAGGCTGCTGCTGTCAGTGGTTAGCTTATTAATAGGAAATGAAGACTCAGCACTGAACTGCATGTCCATAAATGTCCAGATAAGGGTTGGTGAGGCGCACGTGCCACCCCACAGGCTCTGTGGAGTCGTGCTGTCTGCAGCAAGCCTCCGTAAGGGCCGGGCTCCGCAAGGGAGGCTCTGCTCAGAGTTGACGGCTCTGGCTTCTCCAACCCTCGCCTGATAACAGTCAGCCATCACTACATATTACTTAAGAATTTCAAACTACTTCCAAGGCATATTCTTACTAATATCTATTTAACTTTAATCCATCCATTCATTTATTTAAAAGTTTCAACAAATGTTTACTGAGTTTTTGTAATGGGTGAGAAATTAGAGTAAGTCCTTAGGAGTCAGAGGGACAAAAAAAAAAATCTCAAGAAAGATACTTGCCGATGATATATCCAGTAAGGAGCTAATGTCCAAAATATGTAAGAAAATCATACAACTTAACATCACAAAAACCAAACATTTCTATTTTTAAAAAATGGGCCCTGGCTGGTGTGGCTCAGTGAATTGAGTGCCAGTGGCCTGTGAACCAAAGGGTTCCCGGTTTGATTCCCAGTCAGTGTACATGCTCGGGGTTGCGGGCCAGGTCCCCAGTGTGGGGTGTGGGAGGGGCAACCAATTAATGTTTCTCTCCCTTTTTTTCTCCCTCACTTCTCCTCTCTCTGAAAATAAATAAATAAAATCTTATTTTTTTTAATAAGCAGAGGACCTGCATAGATATTTTTCCAAAGGGGATACATAGACATATGACCAATAGACATATGAAAAGATGGTTAATATCATTAATCATTAGAAAAAACACAAGTTAAAACCATAATAAGATATCACCTCATACCTGTCAACATGGCTGTCATCAATAAATCAACAAACAATAAGTGTTGGTGAGGATGTGGAGAAAAAGGAACCCTCTTCCTTCATTTTTGGTGGGATTGAAAATTGGTTCAGCCACTATGGAAAACAGTATGGAGGTTCCTCAAAAATTAAAAATAGAACTCCCATATCACCCAGCAATTCCTCTTTCGGGTACTTATCTAAAGAAATCTGAACACTAATTCAAAAACACATATGCATCCCTATATTCATTGCAGCACTATTTACAGTGGCCAAGATATGAAACAACCTAAGTGTCCATTGATAGACAAATGGATAAAGAAGAATAGTACTATACACAATGGAATATTATGCAACCCTAAAAAAGAATGAAATCTTGCCATTTGCAACAACATGGGTGGACCTAGAGGGTATGATGCTAAGTGAAGTAAGTCAGACAAAGACCAATGTCATATGATTTTACTTATATGTGGAATCTAAAATACAAAATAAATGAACAAACAAAACAGAAATTCACAGATACAGAGAATATTTTGATGGTTGCCTGATAGGAGGGCAATTGGGGGTGGGGGAGAGGTGAAAAAGGGAAGGGATTACGATGTACAAATTGCACATTATAAAAATAGGGATATAAAGCACAGCATAGGAAATATAGTCAATAATATTTTAATAACTATATGTGTTATTATATGGGTACTTAGACTTATTGGGTTGATCACTTTGTAAGTTATGTAAATTATATCAATGTCTGATCACTGTATTATAGACTTGAAACTAATATGGTACATCAACTGTAATTAAATTTAAAAAAATTTTAAATCTTCTCAAGCATGTCCAGATCTATCCAGAAGATTGTGACTGACTTTTGCACAGAAGGCGGTGCAGGGCCCTGAGCCTGGCTGGGCACGAATTCTCAAAAACCTGGATGGACTCACGACCAGGCTGTCGCTCCCTCACAGGCCAAGGCTCTTGGAGCCGGAGAATAATCCAAGAGGCAGCATCTTGAGGGAATGTTGTTAAATCACAAGGCTGTTTTGCATACTAAATCTAAAAGAGTCAAGAAAGGGTATTCAAGACTAAAACTAAAGGGTATTCACAACATACATGAAAATCATTTCCAGGTGGATTATAGACCTAAATATGAAAGGAAAAATAATAATTTTTTAGGAGACAGGAGGAGAATATCTTTATGACTGTAAAGAGGGAAGAATTTCTTTTTTAAAAAAAGATTTTATTTATTTATAAACATCCATGGGTTGCCTCTTGCCCACCCCCAACCAAGGACTGGTCTAGCAACCCAGGCATGTGCCCTGACCAGGAATCAAACCTGTGACCTTTTGGTTTGCAGGACCGTGTTCAACCAATTGAGCTATAATGGTCAGGGCAAGAGGGAAGGATTTCTCAAAGTCATTAAAAATACTAATCCTTTATTTTAAAGTGACTACAGTAAGTTGGACTATATTAAAACTGAAAATGTTTACTTGTTAGAAAATATCATAAAGAGAGTAATTGAAGTATGCCCTAAGTGGGAGAAAATATTTGAAACGAGTGACTTATTTGTGGAATGTAGATAATTTCTACAAATGAATAAGAAAAAGATTTTTTTAATTGGGCGAAAGTAGTATCAGGCACTCCAAGCCCCTTATTCTGGTAGTTTCATTTAGTGCATCACACGCACACACTTAGAAAACGGTCTATAAAAGACTTTGATTTAATTTTTTCTTTCTTTTTTCTTCAATTTCTTTTTTAGAGAGAGAGGGAAAGGGAGGGTGAAAGAGAGGGAGAGAAACATCAAGTGAGAGAGAAACATGAATCAGTTACCCCTTGACTCAGTACTTCCTGACTGGGGGACCGAACCAGCAACCCAGGCATGTGCCCTGACCAAGACTCAAACCGGCGACCTTTTGGGAGACAAAGCCCAACCCACTGAACCACACCAGTCAGGGCTTAACTGCTAAAATAAGAAAATTGAAGCCCACAGAACCCTCAGGTTTGATATTTAGCTAGAATGGCTCACAGAACTTGGGAAGCGCTATACTTGCAATTACAGTTTTGTATTTATAAAGGGTACAAATCAAGAGCAGCCAAATGAAGAGGCAAATAAGACAGTGTCTGTGAACGTCTCAAACACAGTTTCTATGCCCATTCCCCACAGAACCAGGGTGCTTCTCCCTCCCACACATCCAAGCGTTCGCCAACCAGGAAGCTCCACTGAACTTCTGCATCCCGAGTTTTTCTTGGGCTCTAATTACACAGGCAACATTCATTGAATTGGTAGCCATGTGACTGAGCCTAATCGTGGTCAACTTCCCCTGTCCAGAAGTTAGCCTGGCCGAAAGCCCCAGCCCTCTAACTAGGGTTGGTCTTTCTGCTGAACATCCCCCATCCTGAGTCATCTCACCCCTTCGAGAAAACTCCGGTGTGATCCAAGGGGCTCATCAATAACAAAGACACTCCCAATGCAAGGAAAATTCCAAGGACTTAGTCTCCTGACTGCCAACCGGGGACAAAGGCCAAATTATTTATTACATGACAGTAGCGGGCTAAATTCATTAGAAAGTCTAATCAGAGCCTGCAAGCTTACACCTATTTTGACTGTAGCAGTCCCTTCCCATGCTGACCAGCTTTGAGGACTTTAAAACATTTTTTGCTTTCTTTGACAGACTGAGCAAGTGGAGTAGCAGAGCCAGGAACCTCCTCCACATATGAGGTGAGGGTTGGGGGGCATTGCTGGGTCTTTGGGGTTCCCTACTTATGCTTGAGGAGGGCGGCGTGGCCAGGGTGGAGAGCACAGCTCTGAGGTCAGTCTACCTGGGCCGGACTCTCAGCTCTGTGTGCCACTGAGCAAATAACTGAACTTCTCCATTTCTTAGTTCCTCATCTGTAAAATGAGGACAATATTAATAATAGAATGGTTAAGAATTAGCCATAATAGTGTCTGCAAAAAGCGGGGCACATAGTAAGCATGCTAGGTATTATTTTTGATATGATAAACGACAAAATATTTTAGCTGAAAGAAACCTGGAGAACCTCAGCCTCAGCCATCTGTTTGCTGATAAGGCAACTGATCCTAGAGAGAGCAGATTATCTGTCCAGGTCCCATCGCTGGGAGGAGAGCCCAGGGCTGAAGAACGCCAGTGCTTCCACTGCCACCTTTGCTGCTCTCTGTGTGTCCTGGCCCTGCGAGTAACTTTGTGCTGGTATTTTGGGGGTTAGTTGGTTTGTTTTTGGAGCCCGCCATTGCTGATTTTAATGTACTAAGATGCCTTATGTTTGCCACCTACGTTGTCTCCTTGTAGCTGAGGACCGCAGTGTGGGCTTGGCCATGCCTTTTAAACCCCTTTACGTCTGAGTAATCATCAGCTGCAGTCCAGGGACACCAGCTATTTAGTGGCAAAGCTGGTTTCTGAACTCAGACGTCCTGAGATAGCTGCTCAGAGCTCCCATCCCTCTCTCCCACTTTCTGAAGATTCTGTTTTGCTCTGAATGATGTGGTGATGCTTTAGATCATTTGGAACTTGAAAAGTTTTTTAAAATTTGATTTTTGCTTGCTGTTTTTTAATATAATAACCATGTATTGAATGGATACTTCATACCTCATACTGTGCATAAAATATGAAGCATTTTATATATAGTACATAAATGATACATATTATGTAGTATCCAATATACGGGGTCCAGCACATTTATAACAAAATCATAAGCATTTAATTCTGTAACATGACAATATCACACTCAAGCCCACCATATGATATTTTAGGTGGAATGTTCAAATTAAAACTATAAATTATGATATCCATATTATTACTCTACCAACCACACTCAAGCAGGCCTTACTTCTGCTGGACCCTGTATAATAGGATTTATATAACAACTTCTATGGTAAATATATTATGAATATAAATGTATTGGAATGAGTTCATTCAAGTTTCAAGCCACTCCGGCAAGTAGTTGGTAGTATTCCTCTTGTACTGATAAGAAAATTGAGATCGAATAATTTGAGTAGGAGATTTTTATGACATGCTGTGCATTTGTGGATTATAGGTAGAAAAAGCACACGAACACTGCTGTGCCGTGTCAACAGCACAACAGCAGTGAGCCAATAACATGAACGGGTCTCAGCACTTAGGACTGCCAGCGAGCAAACGCCAAACGTGAGACCGACACCCTGTGGGCTCACAGCTATCGGGCCTTGGATAACTCCGTTTATCCAAAGTACTTCCAAAATTTGTAATCCCCTCCCCAAAACACACACACACACACACACACACACACACACACACACACGGCTTTGTTTATTGACCAGCTATTTTACAAGAGATGTTCAGACAAACCTTCTCTAGTAACATGCTATTGACATGGCCCCTGAAAGTGTAGTCTTTGCTTTACCAGACAGAATCCAGTGTCAGGTTCACCCGGCCTTCAAGTTGCTCCAGAGATACCAGTGTGTCTTCTTGTGTGTTGGATCCCTTTGGCATTTGAACATGGTCACTGTGTTATCTAAAACTTCCTGCACAGAACCTTAGCGTCCACTTTCTCAAAAGAAGAGTCAGCATGTTGGAGTCCCGGACATTTGACATTGCTACCTGTGCCCCTGCATTGGCTTCAATTGCTCAGACAGTTGCAATCATTTAGAGCGAGCAGGAGCAGCCCTTGGTTGGCTGCCATGTGCTCGTTTTGCCTGTTGAAGCCACGGGCAGGCGTCTCCGAGCACCCCGGACTGAGGGAGAGTGTGCCTCTGTGGAGGTCCTGAGGCAGCCGTTCTCTAATCGTCAGTCCCCCCACCCATTGTCCTGACTTATGGGAAGGAGGCCGCATGGGACAGGCAAAGAAGGAGCTGTGACTCTGCGCCCCTAACTGCATTCCTTTTGTTTGCCCTAGGGAAGACTGATGCCTATTCCACAGAAGGGAACTTTGTAGGACTGGCTGTCACCTGCTGAGATCTGTGGAGTGTGTGTGTCGTGGCCCTGGCTCCTGTTCCTTTGCCAGACTCCTCCCGCTGAGCGGGTGAATGTCAGTCCCAGCCGGGCCCTCCGGAGGGATGTTCCGGAGCACAGCGCCCTCGATTCTAATTGCATGCACCACCCAGTGGATAAGGAGCCCTGGAGGGACATGTGCTTTCTGTTAAAACTGCTCTGGTCCCTATCTTTTCTTACCAGATTCCAAACTTTGTTTTCGAGAGGAAGGTTTAGGAGTGGGATTCTGTAAGCAAAATTGGGCGGTTTCATCTTGGAATATGTCATGGGTACATGTTCTGATGTTTTATAGAACACCTGTACCTGTTTGAATGTGATGGTATGGATAATACAGAATATCTTAATTATTTAAATAATTCATTGTTTCTGAGAAGTTGAGGAACTACCATATACATTTACAACTTAATGACTTTTGTATTTTATTTTTCAAAATAAAAGCTTTAAATGTGAAGCATTCTGGTAGTTCACATGCTTTCATCACGTGGTTTCAGAGAAGCAGTAAGGCCTTATCAGATGGTGATCTGACGAACCATTTCTTCTCGGGCTGGGCTGTATTCGGTTGGCTGTATTCCTCTCTATGCACCATTCGTTCTTAGTGAAGCTTCTGTGCAATTTACTTCAGAGAGACCAGCTACCGTCCACTAGTCTCAGAATCCTGTTCTTCTATTTTGTGCTTCCATATGCTATAGTTAAGGTCAGAGAAGTTACTGTTCCTAGCTGTTTTCTAGAACCCTTTGTTATAGAATACGGAATAACCAGCTACTAATAGTCATTGCCATTTGTTGAGGGTCTTCTGTGTGCCAGGCACTGAACAAGGTGTTTTATGTTATCTCACCCTGGCCTGAAAACTGTGCCCCTCCCAGTCTTACCCATCTCAGTAATTATATTTTCTACCCAGTTGCTCAAGCCAGAAACCTGAAAGTCACACTTGATTTCACCCTTTTCCTCCCTTTTCTCACCCACATACAAGATCTTTGGTTCAATTTAAAATGAATACATCTGCCAGATGAATTCTTTCTTCAAAATATTTCTCGAACCCATCCACTTCCCTTCAGCTCCACGGCCCCCACCCCACGCTAAGACATCACCATCTGTCACCTGGACTATTGCAGCAGCCTCCTAAACAGTACCTCACCCCTACTCTTGCCCCTTCGAATTCTGTTTAGTGCGCAGCGGATTAAGAATTTTATGAAAATGCACATCTGGACACGACCCTCCCACGTACCATTTCACGTAGAATAGCATCCAGACTCCTGCTGTGACCCAGCCCCTGCCCTCCCCCCTCCCATCGCAGGCCAACCTCCTCCACCTCCTTCCTTGTGCTCTAGAGTTCTTTGCATTTCCTGGCACACACCAAACTTTTCCTGCCTCTGCACATATTATTCCTCCCCCTGGAACATTCTTCCCTTTGCTCTCCTTCTCCATTCTCTGGTCTCATTAAACTCCACTTCCTCTGGGAGACTTTCCCTGACCCCTTGAACTAAAAACTAGGTGCCCATCCTGCCTCCCTCCCTTCACCGTGTCACTTATCACACTCTGCAGTTTCCAATGTCGTTATTGACGTTCTATTGTCTGTCTTCCACACTAGGTGGTAACTTCCTGGAAGACAGAGACTATGTCTTTCCTGGTCCATTTGTGTAGCTCTGACACCTAGCAAAGCGCCTAACACAGTCTCTAACAACCCGTAAAATATTTGGTGGATGGTAATCTTCCCAGAAACCTCTGACACATCATTCTACAGATGAGGAGACAGGCTCAGACAAGTCAGGTCCCTTACACAAGTCCCCGCAGCTAGTACCGCAGTGGTGACCTGACCTCGAGGCCCAAGCCTGACCCGAACAGCATTCTTTCCACTCCACTCCCTTAACCCCCTCCCCTTCCATTTAAAATGAATACCGCTGCCACATCAATTCTTTGTGCAGCACTAAGTCCAGTCACTTTTTTGTTCGAAAGCCGCCTTTGATGCTCTAATGCGAACACATTACACCAAAGCTGTTCTGTTCCCACAGTGGAGCCTCACTATTCCCTTGTGTTCAGTGTACTTCCTCCCTCTCTCTTCATAAACTCTTCACTTTCTGCTTCTTCCAGATGCCTATAAACACAACGCCTCTCCCCTCTGCCTGGGAAATCCCAGCCTCATTAAGGGCTCAGCTGTCTTAAGTCTCATTTCTTAATACTCAACTGCTGCGATCCAACCTCCAAACAACAATGAAATCAGCTTTAGCTTAGCTTTTTTTGTTGGCTCACTTCCTACGTTAGTCTTGTGTCACCAACTCTGTGGGGAGGAGGTCACATACCCATCTAGAGCCTCTCTCAGTGGGAGAGCAGGACATTTTCAAACTACCGCAGCCGGACTCCAATACTTGGCCCCAAAGGAACATACGCCTTGTTCCCCAGGCCTGTCCACTGTGAACGGATGGGAGTGTACGGCACAGGAAAAGCCAGGGAACCGCTGCACAAAGTGGTGGACTCAGGGAAGAGGAGACCGCTGCCCAGCGCACGTGCCCAGAGCACGGCCTGAAGAAGCACACGCTCCGCTGTCTCTGTCTTTACTAGCGTCCCTCCTGTCACAGAGCTTCGTTTCTTTTGATCTGAGCACATTTCTTCTGAGCCCTGGGAAGAAAAGCATTTCTGTTCCATATGATATTTTAGATCACCTCGCTGCAGAGGACCGTATTGGAGAAATGTGGTTTGATGGAATCACACGGAACTCCTGCCGAACAAATGAAAGATGGCAGGAGTAAAACTTAAAAGGGGTGATGGCGTGAGGGTCCGGGGCGGGTGTGAGGGTGCAGCTCCCTGGAGCAGCGCGGCCAAGGCCACTGTCAGCAGGCGGACCTGCCTGCAAGGCCAGGGAAGAGCTGGTGCTCTCAGCGGCTGTGGAGGAGCTTGGAGAGAGCATCAGCCAGGAGGAATCATGGGATTTAAAAATGAGGGGAAAAAAATCTTAATTACCACTCAGTCGAGTAATCATTAAAATTTTTAAATGAGGGGGAAAAATCTTAGTAATCACTTGGTCAAGTAATTATTCTAGTAACATTTATCAAGAGCTTCTCATGGTCCAGGCCCTGTGTTAACCTCTTTACATGTTTAAACTTATTTAATTCTCATAATTACCACCTGAGGTAGACACTCTTGTTACCTTCATTTTAAAAACATCGGCTTAGGGAGGTAACACGCCTAGTGCAGCTAGTGAATGCCAGTCAGGATACAAATAAAAGCAACCTGGTTCCAGAGCCGACACCCTTAACCACTGCCTCGCAGTAATCATCTGGATTTACACTAGAATAGAAAATTGTCATTAGCATCTAGTGACAACTTTTAACTATGTCCCTTGAATTTAATAATCTGCAAGCTGTAATTAAAGTTGGGTATGCCAACAGTGTAGCAGATCACTGCCCTTGGGAATTTTTGGTCTTGGTGAAAATCAATAAAAAGGCACATAAGACAATTATTTCAAGCTCTAACCAAACCTATGAAGCCTAGCTGGTAAGTGATAGAAGAGAAATGGTTGAGGCAAGACTCCATTCAGTGTTGCCCCCAATCTGTCTTACTTAGGGAGATTCTGGGCTTCTCTCTCTCTGGCAAGGTCAGAGTGTTTGCATTGAGTTCCCTTTCCTGCCTGTTTGTCACTGTTCCACAAGTCTTCTGCAGGGACTTTCGGTCTTTGCATAAAGCATGGCACTCCCTTAGTTATTCGGAATTGGGCAAAAGAGATCATTTTTATTCATTTTGGGTTTAAGTCCTAACAAAGCAGTTCATTGAGCATTGTGTGTGTCTATCTAATAAACAACTGATTCTCCCTTTGGGCTTTATCGATTATTACTGAAGATCCAAAATTAAATCAGTTTCACCATAAAACGACTATTTTTGATGTTACATTCTGCAGGAATGGCTGTATGGCCTTGCCCTGAGACGGAAAGCCTAAAACGCCCTCTGTCGGCCAAACATGGAATGACTGTTGATGAGTTGGAAAGGTTAAGGAAATCCATCGTGAATGTGTGCAAAAGTTTCTCTACAAAGATGTTTACTACAATGTAGATTATAGACACGAAATATTAGAAACAACCTAAAAAGGTGGGAATTGGTTAAACTCATTATGGTACATTCACATCATATTGTAGAATACCACTAGCTAATAAATATGATATTGAAAAAATATTTACTGTCAAACATATTTATTGTAGTAAATAAAAACCTGAGCTCACAAAGCTGTTTATTATGATTTTTAAACTGTATTTTTTCCATTACCATTTAGCCCCCCTACACCTTCCTCCACTCCATAACAGCCCCAGGTGTCCTTTTCCATTTTGCTCAATCCCTCCACCCGCTATGGGGAGGAAGGACCAGACTAAAGAATAGCAGTGGCTAATGAATGGCGTAGGGGCAGGGCATCAGAGGCTATGGAGAGAGCTGAGCTGGGCTGACAGCGAGTGGGCCTTGGGAAGCTGCCGGCAAACACTGGCCTCTTCGAGGCTGGGAGAGCGAGGGAAGGCCAACCCTCCACCACCCTCTCAATCATGATATTTCTCCCTTTGTACCTTGTGGGTGAGGAACAAGGAACTGAGAGAATTAGCGGAAATAACGGAGGACGAAAACATTGGTGGGACATGCTGAGTTAGGGTTTGGACATGTTAAGTTTAAAGTGGCCTTGGGGACACCCAGTTAGAGATATCAAATAGTTTTATGTAAGATAAAGATCTGAAGTTTTAAATTTCGAAGTCTTCATGTGGTTGAAAGGATGGGGGTAGATGGAGAAGGGTGCAGGACTGGGGAAGAAGTTTAATTTGTCCTGATCGGAGAAACTGGCAGGTCAATAGGCTGCCCCAAGGAAAACAATATAAAGGGAGAGATGGAAAATTCAGGAGAAAGAAGTGTTAACTGATGGAGCCACATACAAGCCTGGAAAAGCGAGAGTCTCATTGGAGGAATTAGCCTCAAACCCAGAGAAAAGAAACTTCCTGCTAGCTGGAGGGAGAGAGAGATTTTGCAGATACAGTTAACCCATAGGTGAGCTGGTAGGACATTGAGATAATTCTTCATGCCTGATAGCTTCCACTTCTCTATGCAATAAAAAAGCCAAATTGCCATTTGCCATAAGGAGGGGGTGTTTCCTGGAGTAAGGAAGGATCTTGGAAAGAATGGTAATAGAAGTTGGAAACAGAAAAGCCAGCTGACTTGGGTGCTGATTAGATTTATTGTGGCAATCCTTTCAGAATATAATATGTATCAAATCATTATGCTGTACACTTGAAACTAATATTACACGTCAGTTATATCTCAAATTTTTAAAAAAGGAAAGAAAAGAGAACTAACTCATGGATGGGTGCCCCATGGTGCCAAGAGTTTATCGTGCACTATAGCAAGATCATTTCCCATGGTGGTGCACTCACCCAGAGCTAGAGCACAGAAGCTGATGAATTGATCTAAGGTTATTGGTTTGGAGGGTGA